TTTTTAAACCCATAGCTCCATTATTTCCTTGCAGCGAACACAAGGACAATATATCTACACCTGCTCCTGCAACTTTTGAAAAAAGCATGTGTGTTTTAAGTTTTATCTCTTTACATTATCAGAAGGAAAGAAAAAGAAAGTGTTAGCGGGGGGCGGGGGGGGGAAGAAGTGTTCTGAAGGTTTTATTATTATTATTCTCTTACTTTCTGTTAATATAAGTTTTCTTTATACCCTTTTAAAGTTTCGAGTCTGCTTTGCCCTCCTCCTAATCCTATCCCACAAGGAAATAAATAAGTATATTTAGTAAGTGCACTGGCATTTAGCCAGCACTAAACCCACTACATTACTTAGTGTGTTGGCCAAGAAATCTCAAATTGGCAAGCCAAAATCACCACACAAAATTGGTGTTCAAACTAAAACTATGACAGCATGATAAACTGTTGTACCAGGATAAGACTGCCAAACTGATCAACTGCGAGTAATCTCACTTCAGACACTCTGAAATAGCAAGAGTGCACTGCTTCCAAGAAAGGATGCACAGATAGATCCCTGTCACTGTATATGTACATCACCTTTACTCTTCCTCAGTTCCAGTAAGCAAGGAAATTCAATGCCACGAAAAATAATACACCGTAGTATAAAAAGTAGGTCCCTAAGAAAGAGGTTTAGCAACTCAAAAGATCTTGGAATAAGGCAGAAATAAAGGGGAGGGGACAACCAACAGAGGAAAAATGTTTTCTGATGCGAAGGAAAGATGCAAAAAAGCCAAAGAAATATCAAAGAGGAAGCAGTCTGACCAAGTACCTCAGATGCTTAAGGCACCCTTAAATAGTGCCCTTATCTTCCATTAAATATTTTCATATAAAATGACATCAGATTCAACCGGTGCAGAAAAATGGCTATATGGAAATGAACTTAGTGGATCAGTGCCAAAGAATTCTTTAAACCAAATTTCCTAGAAAACAATGTTTACTGGTACTAAAAGGAAGATATCTTTTTTTTTTTTTTTGACACATGCCATAGAACAAGGAAATCACAATTTTGTCAAATTAAAAGCTCTCTCTTTTTTAGAGAAAAAACACCTTGAAATGTCGCACACTACGTTAGAGTCTCTTTACTACAGTTCTTTGTATTACAAATTCCGACACTTCCTTGTGCCATTTTGTGACTGCTCTCAATCCCAGAGCACTTTTATGCAGTTTCACCACTCAGATCATCCTGAGTACAGCCTTTTGTTTCTGCATATCCTGTTTACCATCTCTTAATACCTAGAACACCTTTAGGAAGATTTTCCACAGAAGACACATGGATTACAGAATTCAATATAATTCTAGTAAGTAATGTCTTCTAAAAAGATGGGATGTAAGACAACTAAGCCAAACAGTAATTTTAAGTAACAGAATATGTATTACATGTTACTTACTATTGAGAACCTTTTCTAGGTTAAACGACAAGTTGATGTTATGGAAGCATGTATGTACTCAAAGAAATTTAAGGCCATATTCTTTCTTTTTTACTCACTGTTTTTGCCAAAAAATGAGTGATGGAACTTGATGAGTGAGATCATACATGATCCAGAGTCCCACACAGGACTTGGCTGATAGAGTGAGAACTTCCATTAGAATTAGAATGTAACTTTCTGAAAAGTTACCAACCAATTTATTTTTTTTAACTGACAAGGCATATCTTTTGCCTACAATCTATGATAGCTTATTTAGGCATTTTCAAGTGTATCTTTCTCTTCAGAGACCTATCACCTACCTACCTTGTCTTACATACACATATACAGACAACTACTTACATTACAAAACCAATTAGAATCTCCTTTATGTCAACTAGGGCAAGCAGCTTTGTAGATAATGCAGCCTCAAAGAACGTGGATTCACTTGTATACAAACAGTATTAAGACTTTTGTTCCCTAGTCGTAGCATTTCCACCTAGAAAAACTCTGGTCCAAACAGACATCGACTGCCTAAATCCCATGGGACAAAATACCCCTTTGTATCAACTTCTTGTTAATTGCACTATTTGCTGGTTATCTATAGCCCTCTTTTTTTTAAGTGGTGGAATTCCTGGTACAGTGTACATATTAGGCTTATTTGGAAAGAAATGTGACTTCTCACATTTGAAATAGCTTCTATTACAAATATATTTTAATAGCAATTACTACCCATTCAATACCAATACACTATATTTACCATCTTAAGAATATTACACACTGTAATAGGATAAATGTGTACATTTTTCAGTTTTACACTTGAGATAGCAGCTGTGTTTTTCATTTATCTTTAACCATCTGTAGAAATAGTTGCTAGGCTTAAGTGTAAATCTGTGAGGTTACACTAGTCATACAGTTAATATCTGACTGTTGACATTTCAGTTAATGTGATTTTTTGATCAACAATTTTCTTAGCTTGTATTAATTGCCATATTTTTGGCTAATCACAGTTTTTACGCACATCTATAAAAAAATTAACTTTTCCTAGATAATGAGATTACTTTCATCCCTATTTCCGAATTAAAGACACTTTAAAATGAGCAAACCTCTCTGGCAATGCTGCTTAGAGCTTCATCTTCTGCAGAAAATCTGTCTTTCACTGGAGTTCTCTTCCGTCCTGATCCAGGAGTTCCCATTTTTATTCTCTGAATCTGTATTTGAAAACACAGATAGGACAAAGCTCAGTTTTAATTAAGATCTGGAATTAAAAATAATCAACCAACTTGCATGCCAAAATGTCCTAAATTTTTCAATCTTTAGCTACATAATACTCAAGATATCTACGTGCAATTGGCATGTAATGGTAAAACTTTATCACAAAAGCTTGTGGTAGCATTCAGAACACCACTGCATCCTTCAAAGTACACATACAGAATTTTTCCACTGATCAGAACCCATCAGTTTACCTGCAGTTTCAAAGTCAGGCACAGTTGTAAACTGCTCCTGGCTCAAAAAGAATACCTCTGTTTTCTGTCGATTTATGGAACTTCTAAAAAGATATATCCATTTAAGTTACAGATGTTGAAAACAAAAAACCCTACAGACAACGAAGTGTTCAAGAATTAAATTTGCATGATCATTAGAGTTCTCCTCAACGCAGAAAAGACTCAACAGATAAACTTTACTAAGCATCCAACAGGTAGATGTGACTTACATTTTAACATAGCTGTTCTCATGCACCTGAACTGCTGTCTTCTAAAGCAGAAGGTTTACTATAGCAGAAATAGATACCCTTATGCAAAAAACCCCATTATTTTACCTAATAAGACTCTCAAACTCGGAAATGAAGAGAGAAACATACTACCATCATATACCCTTACTTTTCATCCAGAAATCTCTTATAAATTGCAAGCATATAAAAATGACCAACAAAACAAAACACAGCCCATGCAGACACAATCAAAAAAAATGTTACACCAAAAAAAAAAAAAAAAATTCAAAAAACACAACTATAAATGTTTTTTTCAAATATCCTAAAGCAATCCTACTTCCAGACATCCAGCTCCTCTCAAATGTCAGCTAGAATCTGGTGGTAGTCCAGCTATTTTACAAGATAAGTATCCTACACAGGGTTTGAGAAAACACCTTAGTTATAATAAAAACTTCGATTTGCAGGAAGAAGAGATCTAAAAGGTATCTAGTATTGACTATCCTTTTGAAACTGAACTGGAACAACTACCTTTCTTACTGGATCTGACTAGCAAAGACTCAGTAACTGATTATAGTTTAGTCAAAAAGGAAGGAGGAAAAAACCCCAAAGTGATGGCTATTTTTGCACAAGCAGAGTTTTTACTTTATGACTTTTACACAGCAATCACAAAGCCAAAATATATTGAGGTATTTTCTGGCACTGAAAGACACCAAGTAGCATCATAAGAATTTTTTTTTCACTTATATTGTAGCTTCTACACCTTTTCATCACCCTTCCTGTAAGAACTTTATACTATTAATCCTTTCTTTTCCTTGCAAGCAAGAAGATTTTTTTACTCTGCTTCAAATTTTACAGGTATTTTACTAGTCTTCATCTGCTCAGTATTGTCACTGCTATTCTATTTGGTAAGAGTCCATATTTTTAGTCTTAAAAAGAAGCAAGTAAACTTATGTCTTGTACTCAAGTAAATTTAGACAAATATATGCACAAACAGTTTGGAGATCTCCGTGACAAGGGTTTAAGCGCAGAACAACAAGCTGCTGTCCACATTCTGAATGTATCAAAAAAACTGCATCTTTTTTCAGTAATTCTTATTAGCTGACTTCACATATTAAGAGCAACTAAAAGTTACATGAACACAAAATAATACTACCCGTACTACAGAAGGCTTTAACAATGTTATACAGCCACAAGAAAAATCATGAAATGTTTATTACAATAAATAGGTTCATATAAGAACAGAAATCCAATCTATCTACTAAAAAGTCACTAAGCACAAAATTATTTTAATTGACACATTAAAGGCTTTAAAAAGTACTTACCACATAAGTAAAAACTGCAGAATAACTGCACATACCATAGACTTGAACTGCATTTGTTGACATCCTCTAAACAACATACCATTTCTAATAGACAACAAACTTTGATTTGTTAACTCAGTGAAATGCTCTCAGCTGGCAGACTGATTTGGGGAATGTAATGGTTTCTAGCTAAAATATAGCTAATTTTAGTACAGTTATGTCCAGTTTACAGGAAGTATTAATTTACAGAGTACTAATTTCATAAAAATTAGATGCTGATGCTTTAAATTAGGGAAACACACTACATCTCAGTCACTGTGGAAGAAGGCAAGTGTGGCATCCCTGCCAGCGATCTACCACGCTTCTCAACTAGAATGAGCACAGAACTCCTGACTGAGCCCAAATACACAAAAGGGAATAGGACAATTACCCAGAAGGTATACAGAGATGATGCCTTTGCCTACAAGGAAGAATTAAGAAAATCAAAGCTCAACTGAAGCCAAAACTAGCAAAGGCTGATAAGGACAAAGAGAAAGGCTATTCTAAGGACATGGGGAACACAGGAAAGACTAACAATTCTTTAGAGCCGCTGTTTAGTGACACAGGTGAGAGTGGTGGGTGCTTGCCAAGTCCCACCCTTGGCAGAATTGTCTGGATAATAACAAATGTGAAGATGGGAATCTGTGTGCATGAATGAAATAAGCAAAACTGCCTGACAGGGTACAGGCCCCCAAACCTGGTCATGTTACAGAGCAAGAGGCTTGTCAATTATATTAAACAGAAACCAGGAAATCAGACAGAAGCACTTGTTTGAAGTAAAGGAATCTTCTTGAAAATAAAACCAAAGTCAACAGTAGTGACAGTAGCAGTAACTTTGGATAGATAACAGCATCAGTAAAACCCAAGTTTGATGCTGTCAGAAGTCACCCCACTGACTGCATGATATCTGCCCAGGCTAAACCAATACAGCATCCCTCCTAGTGGATGCAAGATCCTGTACTCCAGCTAGCAGGTGGTCAGTACACACCTTAAGTGTGTGAATGTGAGCTTGTCAGGTATGCTCTCATTGGCATATGCATTGGGACATAGCACAGCACATATTAGAAAACAGCACAGATACCCACAAATCTAGAGTGTCCACATCTCCAGCAGAAATCATGTGTAAATAGTGGATGCTGCAGTTGAAGAACAGAACAGTTAAACACCAGCCTAGAGAGGCTGTGAAATGTCCATCCCTGAAGATGGTAAAAACTTAACTAGACATAGCTCTGAAAAACCTTTTCTAATTGACAATACTTTGGGCAAAGGATGACCTCCAAAGAATCTTCCTAAAATAAAATACATGATTCTACACTTATTATTGTTCTCAATTTTGAAACTACACCTCAGTATAAGTTTTCTTTAATTAGATGTTTTAATAAATAATAATAATTAATAATTATTCAAGAGTCTTGTCACCATTTCTTCCATTCCATTTAACTTTTAATTAGGCTGACATGTGTCAGAGTATTTAATTTCTTGTTATTAAGTTCGGTACTACAGAAACCTAGATATATTCCTAAAATGCTAATTAGCCTAATACTATAAATATAATTATTACTTCTCAGGAAAATATAAGATATCAATACTTCACAGACATGCAGAAATACTTTTGAGATGTTTCACTCCAATAACTTTCTGATTACATAAGAAGTTCTTTTTCTGCATGGGATAAAGAATTTAGTACATGCTATCACATTAGAATTTTCACAAAAACTAAGAGAACACCAAAACAAAACCAGACAAAGAACAGTTTGCTATTGTCCTTTATGGTTTAGAAAGATAGATACAAAAGGAAAGAACACTATAATATCTGCTGCATTTACAGTTAAAAATTCCTGAGACACATCTATTACATGCCTAATTCTATAGGCGTGGTAGCACATTGTATTACCCAACCGATGAAGTGGCATCCTCTTTCATTTCATTCCAAAACACGGAAGTGTCTGAAGTCCCCAAACAAAACAGAAGACCTGAGATGAAATCCTTCAAATGCCCTCTCATTTGTCTCCACTTCAGGCATATATACATTTTATCTCTTCCACAAGTCTTTGCTGTCTAGTCTCCTCCATTTTACCTTCCAACTAAAGGTTCTCCTTGTTTCTTTTTTGCTTCCTAGAAAAAAGTCTGATTTGTCTTAGAGAAAAAAAATAAGCTACACTAAAAGTTCAGGGCCTATCACTTACTACCTCAAATGGCACCACCTGTTCTAAATGCCTGGGTGTATGCCAGCATACTTGGCATTACATACACAGGATCCAGATATCTTAGTGCGAACAGGCTATAAATAACAGACCAAAACTCCCCTTTTCTCTTTCAAGCAAGGCTACAAGATCACTAAAATTCACCTGTGTAGACACCATCTCTGTATAATTAATTCAACAACACTGAGAAGAACAGCACTGCTCTAGAACTAATGCCTTTTAGCAACTGAATCTGAATGCAGTAGTATTAGTACTACAACAGCTGCAGTCATAATTGAGAAGGAGCATAATGATATTGGAAACCACAATCTTGTTTGCTTGATCATCAATCTTTGTCCAAGCAAACTTCAAAGGATACAAAACAAATAGACAAAGAAAAATTTTTAATTATGCAAGACAGACACAAGAGTCTTCTTCAGAGGAAAGACCCCATACAAGGGTACTCTCTTTGCAATTAATGTTTGCACATAGGTCCAAAACCACCCATGCAAGAAAAAGGGCTGCATGATCATAGGGTGACCATGATCCAACAAAGGGGCATGTAGGAAGAGAGAGAAATACATTAGGTTTTAATGCACTGAGAAAGAAATAGTTTAAAAGCAATAATTTTAAGGACTCATTTGGAATTTTCACTCAGAATAACCTTGTTCAGAATATTAACTGAGACAAGAACTATTGCCAAAAAAGAGCTGCTACTATGTGTGAAAGAGGCTAACATTAAAGAGAAAATGCAAAGACTGAGAAAAGCATATAATTACAATCTGCCAAAAGATTACAGTGCTTACAACTATATTGGAGGCAAAGATATTCCAGCTGATGAATAGTGGTTCTGTTTTAAGACATCTTTCATCTCTAATCATGGCCCATTTCAAAAACTGTTAGCACAAAGTTTCTGCTCTGAGTGGACAAGCTTATGTCAGCTTTTTCAGGAAAAAAAAACTTACTCTTTAGACAACTGCACAATCCACCCCCTTAATGCAGTATATTTGCAGTTTACTTGCCATTTTAAAATCTGAGAAATACAATTTCTTATGAGTTTATGGTATTTAGCAAGAGAATTACAATTCCTTAGAAGGAGTTGGAAGTCCCTCAGTTTGCTGGTGTTATGAAGTTAGAGACCAACAGAAAGTCCCCAGTTAAAACAACCAAAAAGCCATTATGCAGCTTGCAAGAGTCTGCAAGTGCCTGATGTATCCATGAAGTGAACAGTGCCTGACTAGCACTGGCACACATAAAGCATTGCAAGACAGTCAATGTACTAGAAGCATCCTACAGCCCTGTAGAACTACGAGACACTTCTAGACCTACCAAGCTGTCTTGGGTGGACTTCACCAGTCTTTGCAAATTACCAAATTTCCAAAACAATGTCTTAAAATTTCAAGTAGTAGCACTTTGTTTTATGAAGTACGACTTCTCCACCAGTCACTTTCCAACAGCTGCAACTGCAGATACCATTACTGCAAAAAATACATTACATACACAATATTATCATCAGTTACAGGCAGCATCTGGAAAGCTCTTATAATGGTGACTCACCAGAGGATCTCTAGGGGCACAATATAAAGCATACATAACTTTCAGAAAAGCAGTGTAACACGGATTGACTTTTCTAGAATCAGTGCTGCTATAAATGCTGACAATCCAGGAACAAACTAAGAATTAAAATGGAACTTTAAAACATAAGGGGATGACAGTACTAAAATGAGCACTACAAAAAATTATGAAAAGGCATAATTAAAGCTTTTCCAAAATGAGTACCCTGACATTTTGCAAAAGAATGATTCATTGCTCATTCAAAAACCAAACACTGCTGCTATATTGAGGCTCCACTTTTTTTTTTTTTTAATGAAATGGAGTGCCCCATGGTAACAACCCACATGCTGTAACAAGTTGCAACTATTTAAAATATTTTTCCCCAACCAATTTAATACAGTCCTACCCTCTTTCCTACTCATGCTACAGTTACAGTACAATTAAGAAAAGCTACTGCAGCAAGGGAAAGAAATTGTCCTGGGTACCCCTTAGAAGAAACAGCAGCTGAAGGAAACCATCAGCTGACATCATACCTGCTGACTAGCTCTCTGCTATGATAGCTAAGTCAGTAGGCTTAGAAACAATTATGTCCACTTGACCTTTCTTTCGTAAACACCCCTTCAGCTCTTCCCTTAAAGCAGATCTAATACTGCTGGCTTAGCTCAAGGAAATGTGAACTTTAATATCACCTTCTCAAGCAGACAGTGTTACTTACATAAACTATTTTGCAGGGCACGTAACGCATAAACACAAACTGTCCCATACCTACAATTACACATTACCTAGTTTCCAGATATTAAGATAATAAAATTGAATTACTTTCTCTGAAAATAGTTAATGCAATCCAGTAGCATTACAAAAATGCTATAACTCATTACTAAAACCACACATCTTCACTTTAGGATCTTACAAACAACAACACAGTATCAAATCTATTAGTTATTTCTTATACTCTGCTTACATTAGATACTAGAGCTATTCAATTATGTATTATATCGATCTAGGTTTTTTTGGTATATGCACACGCCAACTTGTATGCTATGTGAAAATCTAGACCTTAATAAGCTCTACAGATCCCCATTACAGAGTCTAAACAGCACTTTCTGAAAGTTCACATGTATTAAAATACTATGCCATCTTCTGAGAGAAGGAGACTAAAAAAAAAAAGCTCCTCTGGAGTCAATTCACAAGAAACACTGGTGTTTAGCTCAACAAGCTACACCTGACACATTTCACACAACTATCTTCTATTCACAAGTTTCCAGTTATAGCCAAGAATTCAGTTCAGGTAAGACTGACTTCAAATTAAGCTAAATACCTCCAAACCCAAGTAACAGGAAACAATAGGAAGATTATGTCATGTATGTCAAACAATTTTTGTACTGCTAAAGAACCTTTTATCTATTCTTACGTCACCACTAAACAATTACATTAACCAAGGAAGCAAATGTATTTTAAGAGGGCAACTGTTTCTGGGCCACAACACATTTAACTACATCATTTCGCAACCAAGACACAATGAACGTTTAAAGAGCTCAGACAAACATTGATTTAATTGATTTGCCACTTTGTAGCAAACCTCCCGCCCCCCCATATCTCTAGAGATGTTTCACCCTAATAATGATATTGTGAAGGGAGAAAATTGATCCTAGACCTCATTTCAAGCAAAGAATCCATGTAGGTCTCTCTAAAACGAGAAAATCACTGAGTATATCATATAAAGTCAACACAGTACTACTTCACCTACAAAATATTTTTATTATCAGTGAAATACATAACACTGCCCTTCAAAGAGTCACGCTAGGATTCAAACGGAAAATCACTTAAAACACATTGAGCAGATCACAGTCCGGAGCTGTTTTCGGGCTCCTTCCAAACTCATGAATGTGCTCATCTCTCTTATCACCCTCAACAACGTCTTTATAATTATAGCAACAGGGTATACTAAAAATAAAACAGCGTGCTCCAAAATAAATGTAAAAAAACCAAACGACTAAGCATCAGCAAGAGTGACCGACTTCCAACGCAGCTCGCTGCAGAGGGGGCACGCCCTAGTGTTCCGGGAACAGCGAAGCCGTGGTAACGTGCTCCGAGCAAGTAGGAGAGAGGCACCGAAACACACACCGCTGTGATTTCAGCACATCTTCCTTTTTCCCTCATTTCGCCGTTTCCACTCAGCCCCCAAAGGGCGCACGGCACCTTCCCGCGGATCGGAAGGAGGGATCGCGCCCGGCGAGCACCAGCAGCCCGCCGGAAGGGCTCGGGCCAGGCCGGGCTCGGCTTCCCCTGGTCCGCCCGCACCAAGCCCACCGCGGCCACACAGAAGGGGCCGCACACCGCCACCCCAAGCTGCTACTTCTGCTCGCCGACCTGACCAACGAGTTCCGGTTGAGCCGCTCCTCCAAACCTGAAGAACCGGGTTCCCGCCCCGCTTCGTCGCCCGAGTTTTGTGTCTATGACACCCTTCCTTCTCCCGGCCCTCGCCCTTACCCTGCCTGGGCCCCAGGGAGTCTTACCTGCGGGCCAGCCTGCCGCAGAACCGGGACGCCTCAGGAGAGAGGAGAGAATTGTTTTACTCTTCCCTCCACCGTTTCCAGGGGTGTGAGGGGCTCGTAGATCCCGGAATCACTTCAGGATCCTTCCTTCCCTCACTCCCTCCGCCGAGATAGGGGAACAGTGGCAAAAGCCGCCCCAGGGCGACCACAGTGCCCACCACACACGGACCGTCCACGGGCCGCGACGAGGGAAATGCTACCTCACTTAACCCTCTCCACCGTCCCGTACCAACCGTTCCTCGTGAGCGGTTGGGGGAACCGAAGCTGCAGACAAGCCGCTCCGCTCCAGGCCGCCCTCCTCTTCCCCGCCCCGCACTCTTGCCTCCTCCCCTTCAGCGCCAGGCGCTTACGGCCACATCGAGAACTCGAGTGAGAGACTGCGGTAAATTTCAAACCGCCTGCAGGGCCTTGCAGAAGGAAGAAGGGGCCGGCGCTGAGCAGAGGCAGAGAGAGCGCAGGAGATACCACGACCCACGCTGGTACCGACAGCCACCGCACTTGCGCGGCCCCCCACACAGGCCAGGGGGCGAAGGGCGCAGGCGCCGCGGAGGAGAGGGCGGGACGGCGGTACGCCCGCGTGCGCAGAGCGGGCGCCACTGCAGGGACTGCGGTGAAGGGTGGTGGGCGGTGCCGCGCCCCGCCCCGCCCGGCCCGGCTCGGCTCCGCTGCCGGCGTCCTGACGGCCTACTCGAGTTCCGGGTCGGCGTGGGTGACTACGCCCTGTGGCGGCTCTTCAGCCCAGGCAAGGCGAGAAGGCGATCCGAAGGAGCAGCGCCCTCCTCTCGCCCCGCTTCTCCTTTCCTCAACAGGCAGCGAAGAGAGGGGGCGTTATTCTCTGTAGAGTGTCGTACTGCATTGCACGCTCTCCACCTCGCCCCCCCCCTTATCATCGGGCAGGCCGGCTCACTCAGTGCTGTGGTGGGTAGAGGTAGGTCTGACACCACCTGATTTGAGCTTCGTTCCCGGGTTTAGCTAGGACTTGTTTTTATTGATCGGTGTTCCCAAGGGAACAGGCATGCGAGAGCTCCGGGAGACCGTGGCCGCCGCTAAGGAACAGCAGCGCGCCTTGCGTGCATCAACCGCGGCCGGGCCGCTGGGAGTCGCCGCGGTCATCTGTGTGCCCAGTTCCCACCGCTTCTACATGGCACCAGAGCATTTCGGAAGATTTACCGGATGGATATCAGACAAGGTTTATGAGTAAAAATCGTTTGCAGACATTGGCACCTTCGCTTAGACTGGCCTAAACACGATCAGACTTGTGTAACATCAAAATTTAAATATAAGTAGCCGGCATAATCCCTAAGGAAAAAGTACAAGTAAAAAATAAATTACTGTACCATCACATGTATTGCAGGTTATACACAAACAGTCATGAAAATTGATGAGATTCTGCTGTGAGATAGACTTGGGATCACACTAGTAGTAATTTGCTTTCCAACACCTCTGTAGTTAAGTGCAGGGTGTCTCTTAAGATTATAGAGATAATTAGAGGAGATGGCATTTGTATGTTGGCAATCACATGGAAATGAAAAAGCAACAGTTAAAGTGGCAAGCATAGTGGTAAGACTCAAAAACATGCAGCAGACAGAGTTCAAATGTCTTACTAAAATAAGCTCAAGTGGATGTGCACAGGGTAAAGAAAAAGGGATATGCAAGTGATTTAAATCTATTAAAGCAGATGTATAACATATTTCTTGTGTTTCATTAGTATTTTATAATTTTCTGTGTGAAAAACCTACAGTCTCTCAGTCTTTTTCCTCATCTGATCATACAGTATAGCCTCACCATCCTAATTTTTAACATCACATTAATTTCTGTAGTAAGAGAGGATGATCTCACTGGAGGGAGGTGAAGTAAAAAGTTTCTCATGGACCATCTATAGAAAAGACCAAAAAAAGTACTGGCTTAAAACCTTCATTTTTATTTGACATTTATTCTTGCAGAAGGACTCACCTGATGATTTTCTGGACTTTGTAGAGAATCATCATTAAAAACATCTTGGGCTGTTTTGGTTTCCCCTGGCTGGTGGGAGGAGTTTTTAATTCATTCTTGAGTAGAGGGTTTGTGGAGAGCTTTCTGAAATGTGGCATGTCCCAGGTCTTTATGGGATCTCTATTATAGCATTGCTGTTAAAGAGGAATTTTTTTCGATCATTTGTACATTTTTCTACAATGAAGTGTTGATTTTTTCATACTGCTAGTCTTTTGATATCATAGAGGGCACATTTTTCTTTAATGATGCAGTAAAATGCATATCTCCTTGAGACCAGGCATGCATTTTTGTTTTTCATTTTGAAAGAGCAATTGTTTGCTTGACTGAAAAGCAGTGTACAGTGCAGTTAAAGCAGGCAGTGGTACAGGATGGCACAGTAGCAATTCTGAGTTCAGCATTTTTAATGAATTGCTAAATGTGTTATATACAGTTTCATTTATAAGTCTTCAATTAGAAACCAGAAAATGAAAGTTATGTTTGAACTTTTGCTATGAAATGACTGCAGTTACAAAATGATCAATTACTTATGAATATGCCTTGATTAAATTATTACTGAAGCTAGTATAAAGCTTGCTCTATTAATAATGAGTTTCAGCTTAAAATAGGTAAATGAATGAATGAAGTATCACTGGATCTGCCTTTGAATATTTTTTTCTCTTCACTGTTGTTGTTTTATACAGTAGGTTAATATAGATCACTTATCATATGTAATTAACTTGCTAATTTACTCCCTTTTCTCTGGAAAGTTCTCTCTAAAACTGTTTAGCTCAATTAAGGCATTCCATGGATGGACTCTTACTTAGTCCTTTTCAGAGTGATTGTCAGCTAAGAAATTATTTCTAGGATGAATCTGTAAATGAGTTAAATGGATTACTTTGAACAATGTCAACTTCCTACAATAATATGTGTACAGTTTTAAAATATTTTGTCACTGTAATAACTTCCACGAGAGAAAAAATATATTTACTTCTGCAATGTTTTCTCTTTGTGCAGTTCTGAACATCTGGTTTTTTGGTCCCACACTTTAGCATTTCTAATTTTCCCATGAATCTTTTGTTTCATGATTATTGCACTTTCTGATCAAGAATGTAATAGTGTTGGCATTAAGATAAGATCATAGCGTAACTTAATTCCTGATGGCGATCTGTATTTTCCCTTCTGTGTTCTCCCTATTCTTCTTTCTTTCTCTCTCTCTCTCTCTCTCTCTCTCTCTCTCTCTCTCTCTCATCCCTGCCACTCTCCCTTTGTGGAATTAATAGCTTCCAGGTGTTAATTTAACTGGTAGATTGGATTACTGATGAAGACTCATTTATTTAAGAGCACTTTAAGAAATTCTGACAACCTCATCTAATTGTTTCTGTCATTTCCATTTTGTGTCCTTCCTTTCCAGTAGTTTCCATCTCCTCAGTTCAGGTACCATCACTCAGCAATTCATTTGACACAACATACTTTATTTTTTTCCTTTTCCTCTGCAGATGTAGTCGATCCTCTTTTGGAGATTCCCTGTATTATTAGTTATTGCTTGTTCACCCTTCCCTATAAAAGGGGTGTTATAATGTGGGATATGGATTGTGTTTGTTAAAAGGTGATAATGGTTCTGTTTACCAGAAAGCCCTGTGGGAGGACACAGCAGCAGGCTGGGTGGTTGGATGTGAAGCAGTTGTGGGAAGAGATGCATGGACAACATGTGAGCAAGAAGCTGATTGGCTGGTGAGATGCATGGAACAGCAGCTCTGCAGCTGAGCAGCCAATGGGTGCCCTTCTGTTAAGTTTTGCTTATGTCCACTGGAAGCTGAAGGTATATATGGGAGGTGTTTTCTACAATAAAGCCATTTCCTTCATATGCACAAGGAGGTCGGTGTGTCTTTGTTTCCCATTGCTACCTTGTAATACTCCCCTGTGACAGGTGTAAAATCAACTTTTTGTGTCTACACTGGAAAATAAGTGTAAACAGCTTTTGTAATGTAGGAAGAAAGTCTTGGTTTTTTATTTGTTTTGCTTTTCAAAACAATTATTGGATGTGCAAACAGGAACTTCTGCCAGGCCCTTTCAGTCTTGTTTTCCGCCACCTTTTGTTAAGAGTTTAATTTCTACAAAAAATACATTTCTGTCATCAGATACAGCCACAAATACTTAAAAAATAAGTGTTTTCAATCCCAGCATTGGTATGGCTTTTAAAATTTCAAGAGGAAAAGAAGCACAAAATATGCCTTTTTTTTAGGTGACCTTTTGTATGTGATCTTCTCTCCACCAATTTGTTAACTCAGAAATTATTAGAATATCTCTACAAAATCTTTCAAATCTTCCACAGAATTTATTGGAGTATAGAGGGACTATTGTCAGACTTTCCATGTAAGCTTTTTGCATACATATAACATTCACCAAGTTGTGGAAAAAAACCAAGCATTCAAAATTCCTGTCTGTTTTTTGTGGGCGTATGCACATTTCACAGCTGTTATTATAGACTACGAAGTTTCCGATACTGCTTGGTACTGCAGAATGAGTGAGATTTAGTTTTTCCTTTTACCTCATTTACTTTAGCACTGGAAAAATCTGTAGGGCACAGTAGGAATTATGCACATATACATGCATTTTGATGGATGCTCTCTAGCAGTAGAACTGCATGAGTTTCCATTCAGTTCAAATCCATTTAATCCTCAGCAGGAAAAGAATGAGGCTGGCTGTTGAATAGCTGTGGGTAGAGCTAACAAAAAAATTTGTATTCTAATGTTTTCTAAAAAATTTAGACAACAAATCAAATGCAATCTTTTTTAGAAAACTTCCATTTTAACACAGATTATTTAATTGACCAAACAATTGAAAACAGACTGTTCTCAATATTCTAGATTTTCACAGTTTTGGTAATTTGTATGTGTGTGTGTGTTGGTTTATTTCTGTGTTTGGGGTATTTTTTAGTCTTTCAGAAACAAGCACTAGAATAATGTGATTTATGTTTAGAATGTGTTTTAGGAATATTTTTTTTTAATTGCTATGGATCAGTATCCCTGAGTCTTATTTTGAAAGACAGGTGTCTGCCAAGGAAGGTGGGAATCTCTCTGGGAATGGAAAATGTGATCCCATTCCCTCCAAATTATTATAACTTTTGATAATAGAGGGCTGTCAGGCAAAGCTATGAGAAAAGGAATAACAGTTCTTTACTAGTGTGTGTAGATATGCATATATATACATATGTAACAAGGCAAACAAACAACCACAATGGCAGCAACACCAAACAAAAGAACAGAAAGCCATTAAGAGGCTTCTCTGGGCTGCGGCACTGTCCCCTTTGATGCAGTTACAGTCACAGCCAGCAGCGGCGCTGTTGGCTCCTGGCTGGGCAGGGCCGGTGCGATGATTCCCCCGAGGCTGCAGGGGGCGCTGCAGCATGGGGGCTAGCTGCCTCTGCACTGTTTAATGGCAGCACTGCTGGGGGAAGAGATAGAAAGGGGCTTCCTTTACAAACTCATGGGAGGCAGCTGGTCCCGGTGCCCTTCCCAGATGGCAAAATGGGCTGCAGTGGGAACCTCAGAGCAGCAAGCTGGAATGGCAGAGGAGAGCAGACCCCGAGCTGGCAAACAAAATGTAGCAGAAACTCCACAGCCATAGCAGGAGCTGTGGGGCGTTAAAGAGTAGCAAAATCCTCAAAGCTGCAGCAGAAAAGAGAGGGCCAGACAGCAGCAGTTGAGTTCCCACCAACAGCTGTGTGACACTCCCTTGGCAGAGGAGGGGAAGGGATTGGGGTCCTAGGTTTTCCTCTGGGGCACCTGAGTAGATGGTGAGTGGTGTTAATAAAGTCTCAGTTCAATGGCCACTGTTAGGACCAAAGGCTCACTCACGGTAAGGAAGAAGCAGTGAAGGACCAAACTCCACAGTGGCAGGGAATTCTCCCCACAACAGCAACAGCACCATCTGCTCCCCTGGTCCTGAGAGCAAGAGAGAGTGAGGAGCTGAGCCCTCACCCCTCAGCCAAAATCTCGTGGTATCTCTGCACTTGCAAAGAGAAAGTCCACCAGCTGGGTAGCACACTGTATTCTTCCTCCTCCTCACTGGCTACATCTTTTGTCTCTCTTAAGTACCCTTGTTATAATCTCTTAGGCAACAAATGGGAGAAAAATCCTTGAAAGAAAAAAGAAAAAAAATCCTAACCTCCAAGATCATGGTTATATAGTAAAATGTTCAGAACTGGAGTTTCTGAACAATGTTCCAACATCAACTTCTTCATAAGAATTACGGGAAGATGCATTATTTTGATCATCCCATTTAGATGCAGGTAAATTATGAAATATCTTAACAAGGTTTGTGGATGAAGACTTTTTATTTGTAAAGAAAAATATGAAACAGTATTCTAAAAATAATATTTTTTAAATTAAAGTTTTATTTTAAAATTTGGAGAGTTTATAGTATACATAGCAGTATGTAGAGGATTGTGTGGACAGTTTAGCTAGCTGACAAAGGTCATGCTGGAATAATACCATTAGTTAAGCAAGAAGGATATGAGGATAGGAGTCAGCAGTCAGTGTCCAAACCTGGCAAGGTCACTATGCCCTTGCTCCACCATGAGGTTGTGGGAGAGGATCGTTGGCTAGGAAAATGAAGAAAAGATAAGAAAAGCCACAACAGAGTAACCACAAGAATGTAGAAGTAGGCGTAGTTAGCTGAAGTAACTAACCAATAATGAGCTCACTTTTTGCAATATGCATTAGCCTTATTAACAGTAATATAAATATGTGTGCCTGTTCAATAAACTTTTGAGACTGGCTGATCACTCATATTGCGTGCCGCATTTCTCCTGCCGATCTCAACAGCAGTATATTTAATTTTCACATGAAACTTCTCCATTCCAGGTAGAGATCCAAGTGTCATCATCCTTAGAGACCTGATAGACATACTTCCAGATGTCTTTATGTTCTGTTTGATCTATATAGAAATGCTGATAATTTCCTAAAATCCTTCTTGAAAACTCAATCTGAAATCCATTCTGTCTATTCTATATGTGCTATATATCCTGAAGAGAGGGTATGTAAATGTTAATTGATTTTACTGACGGCCTACAAGCCACATAGAGGAAATCACTTGCTCTTACATAGTTTTTTTGAGCTTGTAAAACTTAGAAGCAGTCACTGGGTTGTGTGAGTAAACATGGATCTTTCAGTATGTACTCATTTTTCTTTGCCACTTTTCTGACTCCCATTATATTTTAAAATTTAGAAATGTCATTAGAATGAAAAGTTTAAATACACATTTTTAATACATTTTTTTATTTTTATAATACACTAAAATCTAGTTAACATTTATCATAACTCTTCTATGCCTGATGTCCCCACAACCCAAATTATCTTTACCTATTACAGTGTTCCCATCAGGTATGCGGAGATAAAGAAATTCTTCATAACAAAGACATATCTACTATGGATTTCTTGGCATTTTTTAGAACATATAATAAAAATTTAAATGCTCCTATTTTTCTTCCTACGTGAAGAAACCACTCCTTTATGGTTCTCTTCAAAATCTCAAATTCATAGATTCTTCATACAGCAAAAATAGTTTTCTCTAAACCTTCATTTTCTCCAGCAACAAAGCTGATGCTGTGTAATATATTTTTTAAGTAACCAATTAGAATAACTGACAGCCAGACAGAGAGAGTGCTTCTTTTCCACTAGTGTTGTGACTATGCTGCTGCTCGCAGCTTCAGTTCACTTCTCTGTTGGTCTATGTCTAACATTAATTTGAGTCGTCATTTGAATATGAAGGTGAATATGAACAGTAACAAGTACAGTTAAAGTGGAGAAGCAAAAGGACTGAAATTTAAATTTTAAATCTTAGGGTCTGAACTGTACTTTTGAGATTGTCCAATCTGTTTATTGCTTACAAAAAGAGTCAATGATAATCTTGTATCTTCTTTTTTGCGCTTAATCACCAGCTCCTGAGCAGTTGCTCCCTCTTCAGTCAAGGGCTGCTGTAGATGATTAACACTCCTGAGAAAAACAGTCTGTTCCAAATAAGCAGATTTAATTTAATAATTTCATGTGCTGAACTGAAAATCAGACGACTGGGAATTAAGTAATAATTGTCTACAAGGCACATGCACTCCAGATGTAGAGCAAAACCAGCTTTGCAGGCCATATTAGAGAAGACAATAGCTAAAACACTTGACATTTTAGAGCTATCATGCTACAAATGTTTGTTGGATTTTTGTGGGGTTTTTTAAAGGTAAGTTTATATTCTTAACATTTTAGAGAATTTAGAACATTTAGAGACATGCAGAGCTGAAAGATTTCAAACACTAGGAATCAATGCGGGAGAAGAAAAATGTGAAAAGTTTACATAACAGTTTATTTAACTAAAAACAATTAAATTAAAAAAATAATTTAAACTAAATACAGTTTAACTGTGTCTTACTTTCCAGTAAAATGTTGCCTGATTAAATTTGTCTTTAATTACTAAATCTACTATGTAGATATTTCCTTCAATGAAATTAATGGAGCTAAAAGAAGACTCCACATACCTAGTCGTAACATTCATAGTGGCCAAAGTGAAAAGTGAATAAATAATTTAAACATTTAAACAAATTAATTAAACTAAATTAAATTGATAATACTCCTTGAATATATATCGCATTTTAGAGCTTGCATATACTTGCTTAATTAGATTTTGTAGCAAATTTATCTTTATGTGTACTTTATGTTGAATTTTCTGAGGGTGATGGCAGTTCAACCTTTTTGAGCCAGGAGTAAAAAGCAAATATTCATGTTTCTGTATGTAATGTGTAGTTCTGATCTAAAACTAATATTGTAGAATTCTATATTTGATGAATGAATAAAAAAAGATTATATTCAATTTC